AATAATCCTTTTCACGAATACAAAATCCAATGCTTGGACCTTGCCGCCAATTTGAGACTACCTTGAAACGGATCCATTAAGTGGCACGGAAAACGCTCATGGCTAAGTGTGTCCCTCCCCCCCCCCACTACACACACATGATGAGCTGAGCGAAGGGAAGGCCATCGACTCGACCGATCAGGCCTCTGAGAGTACCGTAAGCATCTCCCTCTTGCCGACAGAGAGAAGATGGGGCTTGTGGTCCTCACACACCAAAGTCCATGCCGCGCATCTGCCCCGAGTAGCCAAAGCCTAAAAACCTGCAAGGGCTCCAACTCCGTGGCAATGCCTTCGGGCTGTACCACGTGCCGTTCGACAAACGAAGGAAGCTCGGAGGTTCGGTTTAGTTCCTTAAGAAGCTCCCAGCACGTGGAAGGGAAACGTTGAATATCAACACGCGGAACGAGCCGAAAGCACAAATCGCAGAGCTGTAAGGCAGTAGCACAGAAAACTAGTCCGACCTGAACAAATAACATATCTTACATATTCTTGGATCTTTCGGTAAAGTCACGTAGCAGGGAAATAATAAAATAATAAAAAATAAAACATAATAAACTCCTTTGTCAAGGCGCTCTGCTCCTCCCACCCAGCTTAAAATACGCTGCCAAGCTTAGCAGTGTTCATTAGGACGCTGTCTTTCCGACAGCTCTGTTCTTCACCTGAGGACGGCTGCTTGTGTTGTGGCCAAAACGTCGTGAGAATTCTATTACGTTTCATTTGTATTATTTTATTATTTCCCTTCTACGTGACTTTACCGAAAGATCCAAGAATATGAATCCCTGCAGTCACGAAAGCTTTAAATCGAAAATATCTTACGTTAACGTTCTCCGCATCAAAATTAAATATGTTCGAGTCAGTTGGCCTCGTGGACTTCAAGCAGCAGTTGTGTTTTTAGACACGCACACGCCGGATTGGTTTCGCTCTTCCAGAGGTCATCAGCAGAGACAGGCTTGTGAAACAACAAAAACTGCCGCTTTAGCAGATGTCATTGGCCCTGCCTTGGCAAAAAGTTATAAGTTGAAAAATATAAATGAAATGCTTATAAGGCTGGAAGGTCATAACCAAAGTCAACATCGACAGGTACAAAAACATAACGGGGGTTGCCTTAAAACAGCGAACTCAACGCACAGAAAGCGGCAGATTTTTTTTTTAAACGCTACAAAACGTATCGAATAAACACGATGCGCATACTTGTTTAAAACGCAGAGAAACCAAACCCAAGGTTCCGCCACCCCCCTATGCCCCCCATGCCCCCCCCCAACTCGCCTTATCCTGGTGTGATTTTTGGTTTTTTAAAACGTAAAGAATACTTTTGGATATGTGGGGGAGGAAAAGGGGGTTACCGTTTGCCTAAAGTGGGAGCCCACAGGGTTGACCGACCGCTGCCGCCAGTAACTTGACACAAGCAAGACCACTTGATTTTTTCTGCATCCCCAATTAGACCCCTTCTCGAGCCCTACAGTAGCCAAAATTCCACTGGCAGAGGGAGAAGAGACCCTTATTTCGTGCAGCCACCCGCTTCCCCCCCCCCCCGTCACATGAGCTACAGCCGTTACACAATTGTTGTTGTGTTTATATATATACACACACTTGTATGGCCCCTTTTGTCGATCCACTGCTGGATTAGGAAGCCACTGGAGCGATGCACTTTAAAATTCTAAATTGAAAACTCAATTCTTTAGTGTTGTCCTTCGCCCGCGCCTCTCCATCAGCACGGGTGGCTACGTACGGATGCTAAGGAAGTTCCACGTACAGGAAGGGTTGGGTGTTGGACCACACTTCACCACCACGCTGATCAGTGAGGGCTGGTTGGTTGGTTAAGGAGTAAATCACTCACCGCTGATGTTGGCCGTGGCTGGGATTCAAACTCAGGTCACAGGGCTTATAGAATGAACTGCGCTAACCATTGCGCCACCGCTCCACCCCAGCTGTTATTTAAGGAGTGATATATGTGCGTATGTAAAGCCGAGCGTATGAGCAAATCACTCGAAATAAGCCCATGAATTGGACAACTCCCGGAAATTAAGCGGGGTTGAGCCTGGATAGTGCTGGCATGGGTGATCGATGGCGCAATTCATCTCGTTGTTACTTTCTCACCACCCCCACCCCCTTCCCCCCTATTGGACATCTGTGAAAAGAGCTTCATAGGTCATCGGATTCCTGCTGCAGTCTAAATAAAGATTCAGATTTTGATTCTGCATGTCAGGTTGATGTGACGATCAGCAAGCGGGGCAGACAGTGTTGGACTTTACTTATAAGGTCCCACGTCTATGCTTCCCCGCCTTCACTGGCATGGTGAAGTATGGTCATATAACCCCCCCCCCCAAAGACCAGCTCGGCGTTTGGAGGCCCTCTTCCAGCAGTGGGTCTGTAGCAGCTGTGCTCATGTCACCTCCACTCGCTTGTGCATCGCAAGCCAAAGGCAATGCCCCGTCTCGGGTCTGTAAAGTCTCAAGTCCTGTACCGTTGTTTGGTTTCTAAACAGATCCACGCTGTTTACCACTCGGTGGCATTACGGGGCACCAAATGCACACAAAACGAGCACCAGTTATTGATCAATAAATTGAGTGAAATCCCTATGGATGTGCTTCACTCATACAAATCACTACGTGTGAATTAGCCAAATAACGAATTAACTAGTTGACAAAATTATTAACTAACAAAACAAACACATTAGGTAACTAACGAATGCACATACAACTACCACTAGTCATTTTATAATAATAGTATTTTTTGTGTCTCTGTACTTTTCAACAAAAGTCGCTCGTACATTTTTGAATAAACTGGAAAACCGATCTAAATAACCAAAAAACGAATGAGCTAAACAATCTAATCAACTAACTATATAAAATCGTTCACCAATAAAGTAAAATATTAACACACAGACCCACACATACACACACACATGCGTGCGCACGGCAATTCAATATTCACTTACGATGATAATAGCCACGGTGTGGTTCGAGAGGCCCTGTAGCGCAAACGCACTGGGATCACTCAAGCCAGATTGAATTACTCGCCATTTCAATATCCACGAGCCGCCAGCGGCCACCGCGTTCACTTTCATTTGGCTCTATCCACCGGCGGCGATAAGGAGGGACCCCCCTACTCCAAACCTACGTGGGGGCCCTGCTCGTCTCATCCGTGGGACCCTCACAGCAGGGGACGGCCGGGGAGTTCCCGAAGGTCTCCCGCCCCCCCCTCCCTGACCAAGCCAAGGTGGTCCCTAGCAAAACTCAAGAATGTCAAGAGGGCATCACTCACTTGTATGTACGTACTGTATGTTGACTTCTTTTTCCACCGTAGGAAGCAAAACCGTGCTAATCGGAGGTGCGGAGGAAAGGACAACAAACTAAACACAAAACGGATGTTCGAAATAAATGAATTTTCAAAATGTATTTAAAAGTGCGCAGCTCCCAGTGGCTTTCTAATATCAGAAGGAATAGAATTCCAGACCGCCGCAGAAGCGCACCCGAAAGCGCGCGATGCGGTGACCGCCTTTGCTCAATTGACCAGCCAAAATCCGCTGCTGCAAGGATGACCGGAGTTTGCGTGATGGTTTATATGCTCCTTGACGAGATCACAGCAAGGTGAGCTGATCCCTCACCTGGCTGGCTCTGTGGCGTTAGGGTTGCCCCATCTGACCTGCTTTTAACCAGACTCACCCCCCCCCCAGATGAGCGATGGCAGCCGTTCCCCTGGGAAATGTTGTAAGTCTTCCCGGGAACGTTGCAAATCCCAGTTAATGTCAGTCGCATTACAATAGCAATAATGGTCCTGTACATCCGGTGATTAATTTCAGCTGGGAGTCCGGAACGTTGCTTTGGGAATCGTTCTGGAATGCCACATCGATATTGCTCTGCTTCGTCCTCATATATTTTCTAAACCTCTCAATATAATTATAGGAATATAGGTTACAAAAATATATATATATCATTATTACGTACTCGAGTGGTACTGTCCCATGCAAGCCGAGCAGGGTTTCGCACTGGCCGCCTCCTCCTACTCCTCAAGCCCCCTCTTCGGCTGTTGTGAGATAATCATCTTCAACACGAAATGTCCTGGTTTTGTGGGACCTCAGGTGGCGACCCGAACCTGTAGAGTTGGCTCACACACATCTGTCTTTTAAAATCCTAGTTTGAAAAAAGAATTTCTTGACAACTGCGCTTCTTGTGTTCAGTTTGTTGTCCTTCCCACGCACCTCTGATCAACACGGTTGGCTACGTACGGCGCGAAAAAAAATTCAACATACATTCAAAGACAAAGATCCCCCTGTATAGCCTTACTTTACTGTTGGGGCAAGTGCTGTTAGCGAGCGCCTATGAAGGCCAGCAAGGCACACGAGGGGGTGGGTGGCCAGCACCACGCCCGGCCGCCTTTGTCTCTCCAGTGGCAAAGTTTACACACTGCACCAGGTACTCATTTGAGGCCGAGTCGACCTAGGGGAGGCCCAGGACCGGTTCAGATAATCGTCACCGGTGTCGACCCGCATTGCCGTGTTCGTAGTGCAGTGGGCGAACTGCGACACTACCTCTCCCCCACAACATGCATGCATATACAAAGAGTCGTCCAGTCCAAAGTTCGGGTGAGTATTTCTACACATACATACGTCTGACCCAGAGGTCGGCAAAACTAAAATAACAAAAAAACGAACTCAATATTTTAAGTGCCGCCGCAATGCGCGTGAACAGAAATCACACGAGGCAGTCTTTGAAGGGCCGATTGCAGCTTCGGAGTCGCAGGTTTGCAGGCCGACCCCCTCTGGTCTAGCTCCTGAAAGAGCCTGCCCACCTGCCTAGCCCCCCCCCCCCCCCTCCCGAGGGAACTCGTTTACCCGAGCCGCTCGCTCGACCCGCTCGTCTGGTCAGCACGTCACGCACACAGAGCACCACGCCGGGGGGGGGGGGTCGTCAAAACCACCACAACCACCACCATCATCATCATCACCACACCCCTCGCACCTGTTCGGCGAGACTGCTGGAGGAGGGCCGCGAGATGTCGTCGTCGCCCTTGGTGCTTCCGTCCCGGTCGTCGATGACCAGGTCTATGGGCATCTTGCCCTTGAGGCAGCTGATGTACCGGTGGCAGAAGTTGTCGCAGAGTTCGTGAACCTGAATGGGACACGGTCGCAGATTCGTCACCCGTCGTCGTTCACGACGGCCTCGTCGGGGGCACGTTTTTTCTATTTCTTTTATCGAGCGCCAACAAACGGTGCTCCGCAACTTCGCGACTGGCCGCTCGGCATCTTTGAGGACCTGTGGCTCTGCGAGGACAAAACATTATTCTACGTGAAGCTCCGGATGCCGCACAGAGAGTCGGATATTCACATTGGCTTCGTGAGAAAACTCTCAGGGCCAATGGAGAGATGAACAAGTATAATACTGTGCAGGCATTTCTCAATCCACTGCTGGATGAGGGTCTCCCACACAGCCTGCGTGTCGGGGAGGTTGCGGATTGAAGGCGGGGGAGGGGGGGGGGTGTTGCGCATAGAAAGACGTGGGAACATAGCAGTATAGTACAACAATGGGTTTAGCTGTACTGCCCTCCACTGTTCGGCGATCACGTAATCCCGCAGCCTATAACACCTGTTTCAATCCTGGCCGTCACTCATCCAAGTACAGTCAAGTTCAAACCTGCTTAGCTTTCGAATTATGATGTATAAGCGTGTATACGAAACCATTCAGGGTTAATTACGTTTGTCGAATAGGCGTGTATACAAAAACGTACACACACAAGACTCACATTGAGGTATATACAATGAACAGGTTTCAAAAGTATCAAACACTCGTGTTGTTAACGAGCACATATCGAGGCCGGAACGGCGCATGAGGTTGGCATGTGGCCATTTCGCCACGCCTGGCCCGCCTTTGTCTCCCTCAGTGCTGACGTCTGCGCACCGCACCGATGACGGTGCTACACTTTAAGACTCTGTCACGGCCTGGAAGACTTTGCTGATTTTTCCTGGATTTTTTCTGTTTGCGCATAGTCACTAAGATGTTTTCTTGTTCATGTTTTTTGTTTTTTGCGGTTGCACCCGATTCAAGAGCCGAATGGCTCACAGGGCTATACCAAATAAATGAAACTGAAAACTGAAACCAATGTTAACCGTGGCTGCGAATCCAACTCGAGATTGCCGCTGGCATCGATGTATGTCTACGTGTATGACTTAATTAGGTACGGTACACGTTAAACATGAGAATATGTTTCACATCGCTTACTACATTATACAAAGACAAAAATCCCCCGTAGCCTTGATAAACTGTTGGGGCAAGTGCTGTTAACGAGTGGGTGGCCAGCAGCCGCCTTTGTCTCGCCAGTGGCGATGTGAACACACCGCACCAGCTACTTATTTGAGGCCGAGTCGACCTAAGGGGGGGGGGGGGCCCAAAACCGGTTCAGATAAACGTGGCTGGTGTTGGCCGTGAGCGGGAATTGAACTCGGGTTGCCGGGTTGGTGGCGAAGCGCGCAAACCGCTACACTCCCGCTCCCCACGTATACCGCGTGTGTGTGTGTGAGGGCTCTACACGTCTCTGGGAGAGTTTCATGGTCGATGGTCCAGAATAAAGACGGAGTGGCAGTGAAAGGAGGGAACGCGCTCCGATAGGGTATCCACCGAGGAGATGGAGCGATGGAATCAGCTCGTGAGCAGGCGCGAGGTGGATTTATCCATCGCGGATTGTGGATGGATTGCGCCGCCTTTGTGGGAGGCTTTTTCGACCAGCAGTGGATTAACCCTGGCTAACGAATATGACATACATATATATGTATACAGTAAATGCATCAGTTAAAAATTTGACTTGGAGTCTCAATTGGCTCTCATCCTGGCCCTAAAGATCAGTCTCTCATGTATAACCTACTTATACTGGTTACTTTCACATTATATATATAAAAGCTATAAACACATACACGTCGGGTGCGCACATAGCCTGACGTACACACACAGAGGGGGCCACATACGCACGTGTACTACGCGTGTAGCCATGTGCGCGCGCTGATGCGCACACAACTCGAGCAATGATTCTCATAACGCCACACCGCCACCCAATCCCCTGGATCTCATCTCTCCATGTCGCCTCCTCCTTTGGCCGATCGACCGCATTCATGAGACCGCCGCAGGAGGATGGAGTTGGGGGAGGGGGGTGGGGGTCCCTTTTGCCATCCCCTCTCTCACACCAACGCCTAATATGACGACCACATTAAATATTCTGCGACCAATTTTTTTTGTTTGAAAATTGGGGCAAAATTCGTTGTCGCGCAAGCAAAACTTTGTCGAGGGTGCGTGCGAGCGAGTGAGTGAGTGTGTGGTTGGTTTTAAGTGTGCGGCACCAACAACAAAAAGAACAGGGGCCGCCACCACCACCACGCAACCCGCGTTTGTCACACCGGGGACAATTAGCGAGGATGAAGGGGGGGGATTAGTAGGTACAGGCGGCGCTGTCGTCGAGTCGCGCGCGAGCTTTAATTGCTCGAGTCGACTCGTCGCGGGTAGGAGAGAGAGCGAGAGAGAAAACTGGTTTTGAAGTTAATTATTAATTAATTAAGTTTATTATTCAGAGGGACGATGCCCCGCGCGCACTCTCTCGCGCTCAACCCCTCCCCTGCCGTGCGGTCGCGGTTCCGCGCATTTGAAATAAAATGAAATAAATCGTTCACTTTATATATATCGGTTGTCATAAAACAACGCGCGCCAGGCTCATTAGTTTAAATGGTCGTAGCAGTAATAATAATAATCATCATCGTCGTCATTATGATGGTGACACCAGCGCGGTGCGCCAATCACTGGCGCCACCGCTCCACGTGTCTGTGTGCGCGTATTCGCATCTGCACTGGGTGGCACCGCACCTATCGATTGTGACCGGTCGTTGTTCTATTCACGTTCGTCGGGATGTTTTCCCAACGTCGATTCAATCGCCATGATGCTAACAATGAATAGCAATCACGACGGTGATTTGCAGGTGTGTCAATCCACTGCTGGATGGATTAAGGGTCTGGGTGTGGGGGGCTCCACCTAGGTTGACTCAGCCTCAATTGAGTACCTAGTGGCGATATGTAAACAAACACATTTCCACTAGAGAGACAAAGGCGGCCGGGCGTGGTGGTGGTGGTGGTGATGGCCAACCCACCCCCTCGTGTGCCGTTCCGGTCTTCATAGGGGCTACTCGCTAACAGCGCTTGCCCCAACAGTCTGTTAAGGCTATACGGGGGGAGGGGGTGGGAATGAGGGTATTTGATGGGGCAGAATAGGTATCACTCGCCACTGATGTTAGCCGTGACCGATAATCCCAACTCAAGTTGCCAGAGTTCGTAGCGCAGCGCGCAAAGCAATGCGCCAAAAAAAACACACAGCAGCGAGAGAGCTACCGAGATGATTACATCTACATTGAATAAAATATATAGACGACGATAAATATATAGTGTACGTCAAGTGTGTGTAGCGACGGCGACGTGAAAACTTGATAAGCACACGGGGAATGACGTACCTTCTCCAATTCTAAGAGATGAAACCGTAATACTTGTATCGCCTGGATCATCTGCAACAACAAAAAAAAACAAATGAACATTTAAAAAAATGCATCGATTAAGCGTGACTCGTGATCAATGGGCCAACTCTGGCGGAACGCGTGCCAAACGTCCTCATTGTCTCCTACCTGCCCGTGTCGCCATCCAATACCAGCACGCTCCCTCTTCGGCCGGACACGAACGCGGCGTGCAAACGACAAAGACGACTCCCATGTAGCCTTTAAACAACAGGCTGTAGTAGTAGTAGGGGGGGTGGGTGACAAGTTGCTGCTGTTCGCGAGCAACCTCTATGAAGGCCGCAACGGCACGACATATGAGAGGGAGGTGTGGCAAGCAACCACGCCCGGCCGCCTTTGTCTCCCCCAGTGGTGATGTTTTACACCAGATATTCGTAACTGATGTTTTGTTTGTTATCGTAATCGGGGAATTCGAACGCGGATCGCCGGGTTCGTAGCGGCCAGTGCGCTAATCACTGCGCCACGCGGCGTGCACACAAGACAAAGACAAAGCTCCCCCGTGTAGCCTTCACAGAGTGTTGCGGCAAGTGCTGTTCGCGAGCAGCATCCTCTACACATATACACACATTATTACAAATAACCGCAGTATTGACAATTGGTATATTACTACACATTGCCACGCAAATATAGTATAACGCACTACAGTACGTAAGAGTGTTCCAATTGAACACGCGTGACTGTATATGTGCAATATATAGGACAAAAGCAGGCGCTAACTTGAAAATGATTGAAAAAAATGTTTTAGGATAATTTGGCGTTTTGGACAACTGCGTTCATAGGTGCAACGTTATTGACACAGTTGTACGCATCAACTGTGTATCTGTTTGTGTGTGTGTAACTGTGTGCATCAACTGAGTAACTAGTGCGGTGTGTAAACATCGCCACTAGGGAGACAAAGGCGGCCGGGCGTGGTTCTGGCCACCCACCCCCTCGTGTGTCTTACCGGCCATCAACAGACTGCCCAAACAGTCTGTTAAAGGCTATGCCGGGGAATCTTTGTCGTTTGTTTCTATACAACAAAGTATGTGTATGTATATATTCACACACACATAGGTGCTCGCTAACAGCACTTGCCCCAACAGTCTGTTTCAGGCTATACGGGGGATATTTGTCTCATATCTATAAACAGGGATTCATTTCAGCCAAATGCTGGCCGGGTGAGGAGACCCGGGAAAACCTTTCGGAACGCGGCACACCACACCCAGTATACCACGCGATACGGGCTGTGTGTTTACTGTGGTCACGTTGCCACCGATACTTCAGGCTGCAAGCGACCCCTAAACTATTCAATTATCGATTATGCCCCACGTACACACACACACACACAAATACACAAAAGGTCCCCAGTATAACCTTCAGCAAACTGTCGATCCCAAGTGCTGTTTGCGAGCACCTATTAAGGCCGGAACGCTACGCGGGTGACCACCACCACAACCGGGCTGCCTTTGTATCCCCAGTCATGAGGATTACATACCGCACCAGATACCCATTTAGGGCTGGGTCGACCTAGAGGAGGTACAGGACCTATTCGTATGTTCACCACGGGCGGAAATCGAACTCGGGTGGCCGGATTCGAAGCTCAGTGCGATAACCACTGCGCTACCGCTCCCCACTACACTAGCGTACACACAAACATATATACACACACACATATATACACACACATACGGGGCATTGCAAATAGACATAGGTATCTATACCGTCGAGGAACACTTTACAAGCTACAGTGTCAATTCCGATTGACTCCCTAAAATTAAAATCAACAAGCGACGCAACATAATGACGCGGCTATGTTATACCAAGTCAAGCGGACTTTCATCATCACCAGCAAGCAGCATCACCAATACATAACAACTCAACAAACTCGCCGAACAGTATCGTTTTACAGACTTTGGGAGAGTGAGAGAGAGTGGGGGATCGAGAGAGAGCAGAGGGATACTTAAAAAAAAACATCTCGCAATTTGGAAGAGAAAACGGGAGAGCGCAAAGTTTCCGCACACATCTGTTTCAATTAGCGGGCAGCGCGCGCTGCACGGAGGCCAATTAAAATGTAAGAGGCACCCCCCCCCCCACACTTTGATCTTCCGGTAAAAAAAATCCGGCACGCGGGCATTAGCGATCATCAAGCCACCAACAATCGCCCTGTGTGTGTGTGGTTTTTTTTCTTTTCCCGATTCTTCTGTTCGGCGGATTAAGCTCAAGCGCGTTAGAACACAAAAGCGACGCTTTCACAACACGAAGGGTTAGCGATCGGTGTGCTGCCACGGTTCGGGCATCCCCGTGCGCGCGCGCTGTGTCTCTGAATAATAACAATGATGATGATGATGCTATTGTTGTTTGCTGCTGCTGCTAGTGCCGCTCACGTGCGCTATTGCCTTCACACACCACACACCGCAACGCGCGCACCGAAGGAAAAGATTCCGCTCCCCCCTCTCCACCTGTCCACCTCCGTCCCCGCAACGAATATTCATAAGATGGCTGTTGGGGGGGCTAAGTGTTGCGCGAGTGAGCCACCGATGAAGAAATGGTCGGTCAGAAGGGCTCACGGCACGAGTGGTGTGGCCAGAAGCAGCGCCCGGCTAACCTGCCGCCTTTGTCTGCACACTGCCGATGTTTAACAAACCGCGCCGGGTTACCACCAATTTGCGGATAAGTCACATTCACAATACAAAGATCCCCCGTATAGCCTTAGACTGTTTGGGGAAAGTGCCGTTAGCGAGCACACACGAGGGGTGGTGGGTTGCAAGCACCACGCTCGGCCGCCTTTGTCTCCCGAGTGTAGTAGCGACGATTACACATCGCACCAGGTACTCCGTTTGAGGCTGAGTCGACCGAGGGGAGGCTCAGGGCCGGTTCGCACAATCGCCACTGGTGCACGGTCGTGAGCAGGCATTGAACTCGGTTCGCCGGGTTTGTAGGGTAGCCGCGATAACCACTACACTACCGCTCTCGATAAAATATACTCACTCGCACGCACGATCGCATGGATACAGGCCTGTGTGTGTGTATCTGCAGGAAATGTCAGCCGTTGTATGAGTATCTCGAAACATGACAGCAGTGCAACTCGATCTGTGGTGATGAATTAGAAGTAATTGATGATGATGATATTCATCACAAAGAACTACTTACCAAATTATCCAGCTCCGGGTTGGATGAAAACAATGGCTTCTCTGCTCTCACCTGCAGCGAATAAAAAAAACACACAAATTAGCCAGGTGTGAGAGCAAAAGTAGACGATTAAGCAAGTGACACACCTAATTGGAACGTCTTAATATTGATAGCAAAAACAGGATATGTGTTTATATACTTTAAAAAATATATATAAATAGAAATACTAAGATGCTTATAATACATACAACTGTAGATAATTACGCGTGCGTATATATTTACAGACAGGCCACGTGTACCAGCGTCGATTGGACGTTTGTAAATTGATCCTCCGTGTTGTTTCGTAAGGCACCATACGTTGCTATGTTTGTCGCACGATGTGGTACAATCGCACGGCTCCTATAAATCATGTAGCATTTAGCCGCGTAAAAGCTGTTACGCATACCGTGGATCATATTTTCATGATAAATTACGATACACATTCAACCATGTGTGTGTATGTCTACACACACATGCTTTTATGTGTGGGGAGCAGTAAGTGTAGCGGTTAGCGCGGTTACGCTACGAACCCAGCAACCCAAGTTGGGTTCCCGCTCATGGCCGACACCAGGTGACGATTATCTGAACAGGGTCCTGGGCATCCCCTAGGTCGACTCAGCCTCAAATGTGTACCTGGTGCGGTGTGTGAACATCGCCACTGGGGAGACAAAGGCGGCCGTGCGTGGTGTTGACCACCCACCGCCGCCCCCCCCTCCATCCTGTGCCGTGGCGGCCTTCATAGGTGCTGCGACTCGCTAACAGCACTTGCCCCAACAGTCTGTCAAGGCTATACGGGGGATCTTTGTCTTATGTGCGCATAGCTTTGGACAGCCGCTATATTAAGCTGGGAACACGCCGGTTCATTTGTCGCGTGACGTCACGAGCCGGGATCATTTATCTTGCAACGATTTACATTTTAATTGATGGACGATCGACTTATTAATTGCACGATTTGTCAGCTCAAAACGCACGTTAATTAATTAATATCATTCTGATTATTATTATTACTCTACAACTCCGGAGGATATTTGTGACCAGGTCGAACGCGCGTTACGTCGTCCACACAAACACAATGTGTAAGTTACAATTCCTGCATTACTTATATATGTAAACTCGTTCGTGTATTTCATAATGTAATTGATTATCTGGTTACCCAAATTTATCTTGAGTAATATTTGGATCGCGTCTGTCTCTACGGTATTGCAATGATTCACTTATACCACAATACGTATACTGTGTGTATGTATATATATATAAACACACACACACGAAAGGCTTATTTGTCTTAGGTGAGCAAAAGCGTACGCAAATTATTCGGTGGGAATTAATTAAATTGCAGGCAATTAACGCATTGATTGCGAGAGCAATAACACAGCAGATGCAGCCTTGTTAACATCACAAGAATACATATTCACGCTGCTCGCTTTAATTCACCGTTGTATTTTCAAATTTAAGTTAGACACAGTTAGACACACTCCCACAACACATGACGCCTACAAGCTATAATATGCATACTATTAAATACTTATACCAATAGCCACACTTGCTACATTACAGTAATATATTGCACTGCGCGGTCACGATATTGCCGCAAATAGTAATTTAGTGACGATGCAAGACAGCGATTTAGCGCAAGTAACAATAGGTTTTAGGACAATTACAGGAGTGTTCCAACAATGTTAACGACACGGGTAAAGGTGTGTTTTAATAACAATACTTACTTGCCAATGGTAGTTCAAATAATTATAATCAATACGACTTCGTGACCGCATGTCGCGTAAGTGTGTTGGTGATGGCGCCGCGCGTTTATTCTCTACCCCCCCCCCCCGTGTCACCTTCCCTTTGACCATACTTCACCATTCCCGTACCTGCTTGGCGAACACAGCGATGTCTTCGTTGAAGGAGTCGGAAGAGCAAACGTCTCCCCCCGCGACTCCCGGCTCCCTCGGGGTGCAGGTGGCCAACTCACACTTCTCAAACACGAGGGCCAGCAGCGGGAACAGCGGATGTCTGCATCACAGTCGGGGGGGGGTAATTTTTTTTAGGGGGAGGGGGGCTTCATCCAGTAGTGGATAGATAATGGCTGGTGATGACAATGGTGGGGCCTTCATCCAACAGTGCATTTGGGAGGCCTTCATCCAGCTGTGGATTGATAACGGCATGATGATAATGCGAGGACGTGGTCGTTTGTTTTTGGTGTGTGTGTATTTTCTGGGACGTAAAATAAGTTTAATTATTGTGTGTAAATTGTATTGCTTTCAAACCCAGTAACATGTAACTTTGTATGAGTGAGTGTCATTATCCACGTATTACTTACACACGTATACACAACATACACCACCCACATACATATATATACACACACATACTGCACACGTGTATACACCAGACACACGAGATGTACACATACAGCCAGACATAATCCACACACACGTATAGTGTACACCAATCACGTACACCACACACGCATACACACCACATGTACACACACTACAAATATATATACTACACTAGACACATTCATACACCCTATACTACACACCACACGTATGCACCAGTCACAAACACCGCACACGCGTCGCACATATATACACACACACTGCAAATACATCGATATACTACACTCGTCGAATGCATTACACACGATGAACTTTTACACCCACACGCACACGCCAGACGCACACACACACGCGACACTCGCGGACATTATACACGTGCACACGCTAAACCCGCAAACTAAATATCCCGCTTCACGCTCATTACAACGCGCTTCTTATTACTTCGTATCGTGTCCGTGACGTGCCGTCACATTGGGCCTGTTTTTTAAAAAACAACTCACAAATCGCATCGTGCTCGTAGGCGATGGCATTCCACGTGCACATGCAGAGCACGTGCACGTGCGCACAGGGGCACACATGACTCACTCTTTGGTTCTTTCGGTAAAGTTACGTAGAAAGAAAATAAATACATTTTATAGAATAAAACGTTTCTATTGCAACACAAGCAGTCGTCATCAGGTAGGACTAAATTTGAGAGAGAGACAAAACACAGACACGGAGACACACAGACAGACACACAAGCAGAGAGAGACAACACAGAGACACACAGAGAGAGACACAACATAGGGACACACACTGGACTCCTTACAGGAACGCGCCGGCAATGCTCATAATTAAACGATTGTCAAAATAAATAAAAAGTGTCCGTAATTTTCGCCCTAACAATCGAACGGAAATTGCGCATTATGAAGACGCTTGGTTAAATCGGCTTCTCTTTTCTCCCTTTCAAAGTCACTTTGCCAATAGGTGTGCAAACCCCCCAGAAAAAAAACACTCGACGAGCCTTCACTTCAAAGTAATTGCAAAAGTAACGCGTCCAGCCATTACGGGGCCTCCCTCGGCCGTTCCTCGGCATGTCGACGTCTCCGTTGCGCTTGCGACGCGACTCGCGTTACGTTCAGCGCGCCGCCCGTACACCGCCCGCCGCGAACATTACCGCCGCTGCAATTTTAACACGTCGCACTAACGCCGTCGAGATGATGATCGTGATTATTGATAAGGTGTCATCCGCATGATTTGGCACATTCATACCGCACGTGTTCCAGGTAAAGTTGCCGAGTCACTTCCCCCCCCCCCGTAGCTTCTGGTGTCAATGTTGCTGCTGCTGTTGGAGTTGGGGTTGTTGTTGCTCCTAAGCTCGTCGGAGCCCGTACCCGTAAATGGAGTCCTTGTCCCTCTTGAGCGCATCGTTGACGGGGGAGCCCATCCCGGCTGACATGACGCCCGCGTGCGCGGGGTGCGGGTACTGGTGGCCGTGCAGAGGCGGCCCGTGGTTCAGGTGATGCACGGGCTGCATGGGCCTCGGCGCGTGCGGGTCCCCGTACATGGAGGCCGGCACCCCGACCCCGTCCATGCCGCCGTAATGGCCCAGCTCATCGTACTGCATCAGACAGTAGGCACAGCGCGCGCGGGGAGAGAGGGAAGAGAGATGGAGAAAGAGACACGGAGAGACAGAGAGAGAGATAGCCTGTTGTGTGTGTGTTTGTTTTTCCGGCAACTCGCTGTTCGGGCGGTGATAACCGCGGCGGAAACGGCGACGGGCAGGAGGGCTGCCGAGCGGCCGGCTATCGTCACGATCTGACGCCGCCAACTGGACGTGTCAGACACGTAAACAGGGTCTATCTTTCATCCGCCAGAGCCGAGAGGGCACCGCTGAGCCGCCATCACGTCACAAGTGCAGCGGCGGCGGCAGCAGCGGCGGAGACTGCGAACCCCGACAGCTGCCGAGAGCCGAGAGCTTGCGGAGCCAAGCACCCGGGATGCGAGCACGCGTGGTGCGTGCGAGAGAGAGAGAGAGACGGGGGGGAGAGAGAGAGAAAGAGCGAGAGAGGTGAGCACTCCGGATGAACCTACCCTCTGCGCCATGGGTCCGCGCTCTCGGGCTCTCCTCTCCCAGCCGCCTCCGCCGCCGTCAAAAGCCCGGGCCGCTCCCAGCGCCTCCGCTGACGCCGCTCGCCTTCCCGCCCGCCCGTCTCTCCCCCCCCGTACGTCGGCTCCGCGGCTCCCGCAGCCGATCCCGACTCGCAGCACCCCCCCCTCTCCCCGAGAGAGACGCGGGACTCTCCCCGGTCGCAGCGGACGATCCGAGGCGGGACCGAGCGCGCGCTCGGGCTGCGTGAAGCCGTCAACAGGCGCCTCTCCGGAGCCGAGCGGGGCTCATGGCTTTTTGCCACTCCAGCTGTCAATCACCACCGCGTTGTCAAGGCACTGAATGAGTGATGATCCGGCGCGCGATTCGACTGGTCGCCGCGCGATGCTTGGCCTCGGCAGCGCAGGCAGCGCGTGGGGTTTCCGCGGGGCTCGGATATGTCACCTAGAGCGGCGATTTCCCGTGGCACCAGCAGCAGCAGCAGCCGCGGGAGTGCAAGACACACACACACGGAGTGGGTTCAGAGAATCTGAGCTCTTTTTTCCAACGACGGATACTCGCAAATAGCGGTGGCCATGCCTCGTGTTTGGGAGTTATACAGGGCCGGCGGACTGTTTCAAGTGGTGGGGGGTAGGGGTGGTGGGCTCCTGGGTTGCGGTGGAGGAGGGGGGGTGGGTGGATCGTGCGAGCGCTCGGCTGAGCCCAATGCGCTTGGGAGCAAAGGGAAGAAGAAACGCGGTTCGTGCAGACGCCGCAAGCCACCGGCCACAAACCTCGGGGAGAATTAGCGCCTCATTGTCTTGTAAGATTCGCTCTCTTTCTCAGGAGCGACTAGGGAGTAGAACGACACAAGGGCAGAACAACGACAACAACAAAAATCGTGCCGCGCACCAGGTCGGGGGTTGAGCGCGCAAGAGGAGCGCACGCACGCGGCCGCGCGCGTCAGGATTCGAGGGCGCGATGCGCGCACACACACACTCATCGTGCTATGCCGGCCGTCTACCGCAGTACGCGAGTTGCGTTATGTTTGCTATGTTTGCCTGTTCGTGCAGTCGCTAACAGTCGGGGCTGCTGGATCAATCGCGGGTGACTCGCGCGTAACTAAGTTTACGACGAGAGAGAAGCAAATGACAATGAATGTCTGGTCATTTGTTCGAATTGTTGAACTGAAATACAACCCGGAAACTTTGACATCCCCCAGATTCAGATCGCCTTTTTCCAAGGACCTTTTCTCGCCGGTGAGGGGCGGAGAGACGGGGGGACGGGGGGGGGTGGGTGCAGGAGGAGGGGGGTATGCTATGAGTGCATTAGCAAAAGCGGTAACTTGAGAACGCACAGAAAGTCGCACTTAGCTCTCGCAGCGGAATATTCATCACAGAAAGGCGCCTGGCTCAACATGGGCAACGCTTCGTTTTTTTATCCTCCGTCTCTCTCTCTCTTGCCCTCTCGCACACTCCCCTCTGTCTCCTGCGTCTCGCGGCCAGCACGGTAAACACACCTTCGAAAGATCACATTGGGAGCATGAATCACGTTGGCTCTCTCTCTCTCTAAGCAACGTCGCGACACCAGTGAAACACGCCCGATGATTGTGGCCATAAATTTGCGCGTTAACCGGAGTCGCATAAAGAAGGCAACTCACGTGCGCTTTGCGGAGCTGTCGCGAGCTTTTACAGCTTATGCGTGCCAATGGAGCGAGCTCTATTCACAAAACGCAGCAGCAGCAACCCAACCACCACCAACAACAACAACAAACATCAACGGCTAGAAAACAAATATTAAATACTAATACCAGCCGCCTGGACAGAACCTCTCGGGATATTGATTCGGTTATTGCAAATGAATCGATGGCTGCGCATTGCACAACAACGTGCGCCGTACATCTCTTGCGGGGGGGCGAGCGCCGTCACGACGTCGGTAACTCTTAGCAAACAAAACACGTCACTTTATCGAGGCGATCATAACCAGCGCGCCCGTGCGGACGGCGCGACACAACCGGCACACGCGCAGAGACGACGCAGCCGCCGCGAAGTCCGGGGCTTGGGGTGGTGGCACGGGTCTGGGGGTCTGGGTCAGGTCGGGTCCCGATCCACGTGTCGGCTAGGAATTCGGGAGCTAAGTCGGGTCGGGGTCTGATCTGGTCGAGGGTCAGGTCGGATCGGGTCGGGTCGGTGGGGCAGTTCGACGCTAATAGTGACCGCGTGGTGCACAGCGACCTGGCCAATTACAGCGATCGGGTTCAATTATAACATAGCATGAAAGTCGCTTGCTGTTTATGTCGAAGAGATGGGGATCTTTCTCAATGAACGGTGGCGACTTCTGCCGCTGTTGTTGTTATTGTTGTTATTTTTGCTCCGGTGATTTTTGCTTCGCCTGGTTGTGTGTCACGCGTTAAGGGCAACCCTGCCGCGCGCGTTGCGCAGCCGTCCGCTCTTTCCGCAACGGTGGAGGCGAAACAACGCTGGCGTGTGGCGGTGAGTGCGAGCGACGCGTCGCGCCATCTCTTCCACGCAAGAAAGCCTCGGTTCGGCACAACGAAGTCGCGCTGGACTGCCGCGCGCGCCCTAAGCGACGAGCGCTCTTCGCATTGTATCGCCCGGGGGGGGGGGGGTGGGCGGGGGTCACGGGGACCCCGGCTATAGCGGGGAGGAACACGTGGGATCATCAACAGGCGCGCGCGCACACACACGGAGTGATCCATTCGTAGATAGCCCACCGATTTAGTCCAAACACCGTCTTACTTTCTGCGCAACAGGTGATCGTGGCAGCGATGGCTTCGTATCTTATTACGGAGGAAAGTGTGAACATGTTTAGTAGGTCGTGTTGAGGTTGGCTGGAGACGGGGAGAAGGGTTTTTAACATAATGATGTTTTCTATGAAATGTCCCTTCTCCCCACCCTATTATTTAGGAGGGTATATATAAAAGGATCACTCGGCGTGTGTGTACATATATATGATTGTACGTAGCTATGAAGGGCCATTGCCCGAAACGTCGCCTGTTATATAATTGTATTTTAAAGCCACTAACGGACGTCTTGACTTGTTGTTGTATGTATGCGTGCGAGCGTGCGTATATATGTAGCCTCATTGATATATTACACGGATTGTGGTATCCCTCATCCAGCAGTGGAGTGACCAACCAGTCGCGTGCACGAATCTTCCCCGAGCCCGAACGATCGGCGCGCCTCGGCTTATTTTACAAATTAAATTGTTTGGATAACAGAACGCGCAACAAACGCTGCGTCGCGCCGACTAGATGCGTAAAATTAATAGACTGTACGCTGTTTCAACACGATGTCATACGTGTCTTCATTGCGTTCGTGAATATTATGATCGCATTAAAACTACTGGCATGTGCATCAACGCCATTATAATATTCTAGTTACTAGCATTGCGTAACGTACTTCAGTATGACAGTAACAAACATCGAGTACAATAACCGATGAACGAAATCGTATAATCACGCAAGGTACGTGTGATATTTCAAGGACAGCCAACTCTCGATTATCCGATGTCAAGGGACGATCCGGTTGATACAAATACACGGATAATGCCAACGCTTGTGTAAACGAGTCTATAAATCGTATTTACTGCTGAGCTATCTATCGCGGGAGGGGATGTAAGGGTGTCAACGTGTCGAGCGTGTAATCTGTTAATGTGTGTGGCTTTTAATCGCTTATTAACGTTAATCGGTTTACTTCTTTCCGACATGTTTGTTGCGGTCACGTGGTCGCCGAGTCACTGACCGTCGACGATTGAGGAGCACGCGGTCCGATAGTTGAACCGTGGAGAGAGATTCTCGGTAAATCGGCAACGCGTATATTCCGCCCGCGATCAATCGAGTGTTTCACGTGTGCCGTGTTACGAAAAACATTACCTCTGTGATGTCGTTCGATGCAATAAGGTGGCCTGTGTCCCACCCTCCCGCCCTCCCCGGCGTGGAATTTCATTTCGCCTAAGGTTAATAAATGTGTACATCACGTGGGGACACGAGACGTGTGTTTGCTTCATGTTTGTTGTTTTTATGCACTCGTGTAGAAGCAGGTTGTGTATGCGCGTGTCTGTGCAGAACTGTCACACACCTGTGTTGTATACATATATGTGAGTCTGTGTGTGTTGAGCGGTAGTATAGCGGTTAGCACGCTGCGCTATGAACCCGGCATCGCGAGTTCGATTCCCGCTCACCGCCAACACCAGTGACGATTATCTGAACCGGTCCTGGGCCACCCCTAGGTCGACTCGGCCTCAAATGAGTACCTGGTGGGCTGTGTAAAGACATCGCCACTGGGGAGACAAAGGTGGTCGGGCGTGGTGCTGACCACCCACTCCCTCGTGTACCGTGCCGTCCTTCACAGGTGCTCGTTCACAGCACTTGCCCCAACAGTCTGTTAAGGCTATACGGGGGATCTTTGTGTTGAGGTTACAATCAACTGTTGAGAATTCTGACATTGGGAATTCGCCTACACAAGTTGACTTGTGACCCACGCACCTGTGTAAGTGTGTATATGTTTACAAGTGCAGATATTCACTGCGCCCATGATAATAACGGGTGTCAACATACGTGTAGCATGATGTCGATTGTTGGGTTTTCGAGAATGTGGTGTATTTGTTTACATTGTCAAAATGCTGTGTTTTCACGGCTCGGCACAACAAAGACATTTATCAGACTGTTGGGGCGAGTTCTGTTTGCGAGCACCTATGAAGGACCGGTACGGCACACGAGGGGGTGGGTGGACCAAACACCATGCAAGGCCGCCTTTGTCTCCCTAGTGGCGATGTTTACACACCGCACCAGGTACTCATTTGAGGCTCAAACAATCGTAATTGGTGTTAGCCGTGAGCGGGAATCGAACCCGGGTTGCCAGGTTTCGTCGCGCATCGAGCTCATCGCTCCCCCACCGCTCCCCCACCGCTCCCCCACCGCTCCCCCACCGCTCCCCCACCGCTCCCCCACCGCTCCCCCACCGCTCCCCCACCGCTCCCCCACCGCTCCCCCACCATGCACACACACTGACAACCTCGTATCTATTCAAACATACACACACTGCACGTTGTTCTATCCAAAGTGTGTTTTGTTTGTTTACAAGAATATCAAACAATTATTTCGTTTACACAACAGCATTCTCGTCTCGATTGAAG